ATTAGCTCATTATCAAGAATCCCTGAGACACCCAGGGAAGCTAAGAATTCCAGGGACTCTCCTTGTTTGGAAAAGAGCTGCTTTGGAATAGTCTTAATAGAATGAGTAGCTAAGTCTTATGACTCATGAAGGGAGAAAGAAGCCATTCTTCAGACCATGGATGCTATCCTTTAAGTTTATTTCATTTTTATGTGATTGTTCCAACAAGGACCAGCCACTCGAAGAGCATACAGTTTCTTTACATAACACAAAAGCAACACATGTCTAGGGAATTTAATTACTGTGTTGGTTCAATTGATCTTCCCCTTGCCACAGAAGACCCAGTTAGTTGTATGGATCATTCTTGGTAAAACCTTGCTGCCACTCAAGAATTCGTTCAAGAGCAAACACTGATGAACAGAAATATTTCTATGATTCCTTCAGAGTGGGAGGAGTAGCATGCATCTCAAGCATCTCCATACAAAAGTATGTCGACCACCTGGTAAGGTGTTACACACAGATGGCACTAAGGAGTAGAACATCTGAAAGGTTTATTTATTGATTTATTTTCCATGGGGAGGAGGTCAAAGCTTGCATGTGCAAGCAGTAAACAGCAACAAGGAGCACAGGAGTGTGAAATGAAAGGCTTGGGCAGGGACTGATGAGCTGGTGTCGAGGGCTCCAACTGCCTATGGATAGCCTCGGAGCTCCCCTCCAAACCCATGTCTGTGGGAAACATGGGGCTCTCTACTATCTCACCTCCTGTTCTCAGGTGTAGCCTTGGTGGTTATTTAACTCCTGGATCTTACAGAAAGAAATGGTAATCCCTGGCTTCCCCTGGCGCTAAACTTAAAGGATCTCCCAGTTCCAATGAGTGAGCTTATTTAGTTTGACTATCTAGAGAAGCTACAAGACCTGAAGATAATTTGCCTTTGTAAGAAGCAGCCAAACTGAACATTTGGCTGATAACTCCTGTTAGGCCTTCCCCTTCTAGCAAGGGCGTGTGATTTCCCAACAAAGGCAGCCGAGTTGCAAAACAGCAGGGCTTTGCTACAGTTAGTAATTAATGAGGTGCTAAAAGTGCCAGAGCAGAGGCTCCCAGACTCAGTGTGTGACTCAAAGGGCTAAGAAGCACCCAGGCTTTCAAACAAGTGTCAGTTAAATAAACAGAGAGTCAAGTGAGTCCACTCTGTGGAATGGGAGATGGTCCACTGTTATCAGGAAACATCACAAGACTGTGTAATACAATATTAGAAAGATTAGTCACCGTATTTTGCAAGTTGTGAGAAACTGGAATTTTTTTTTTCTCCCTCCAGTCTTTTGAAGGTGTAGAATTATCTGTCTTCAGCATTCAGGGGAGTCAAAATGCATTCCTAAACCACCTCCTTGTTCAAATAAATAACCAATCTCCTACAGTTTCCCACTAGCATGGCTTTGCTTTATTCTTTTAATGTATATTAATCAATCAAGTTAATTATTAATATTAGTAGACAAGTTGAAATACTTTACTTATCAACCAATAGCTGAGGACCCCAAAGACTAACTCCTGCTTCCTTTGCTGGAAAAACATCACTGAGGAAGAATGATATAAGGTGTCATTTTTGCCAAAAATGAAATGTGTGGCTTTTTTTCTTTGAAAGAGCAGAAAAATTCTTGAATAAATTCAGATGACTGTTATTATTCACACTAGATTTTATGGTTTCTACTCTCGCGTTGTTTACAAATTTCTTTATGTAAATGAATTTTGTGGTTGCCTGCACTTTTCTGTAATTGTAATAAAGTGTATTATTGTATGTTAATAAGTTTCCTCAAAATGATTCACTATATACACATACATATATAAAAGTAAGATTATTTACAGTACATACATATTTATTAATAGTCTCCCTACTGTGATGGGAAAGAAAAAATTATTTGATAAAGTTGACTAGCTTTGGAGTCCCATGAGGGACTTTAAAACAACTTACTTCTGTTCTAAATGATGTGGTACATCTGCTTCAGGGGCACTAAAAATTTCTCATGCTCGACAAATATACTGAGATTTAACATGCAAGGCAAATGAAAGAACTCTTTGAGATGCATTCCAGTGCTAAAAGTTTTTAAGAATTAAGCAAGTGCCTATTGTATTCCTTAACAATATAGGACTAATATACGCATACTTGCCGTAAAGAAACACTTGACATCTATTCACTTATAAGCAAATACGTGTGATTTCCAGATACAAGAAGCTGAATCTCATAGAATTGGGTTAGTGCATTTCAAATTGGAGAAATAAATCTTTTTTGATGATAGGTTTATCTTATTTGAGAGAATTTATTAAATATCAGCTGATAACAGACACTAGCAGTCTCATGCTAAAGCTATTATTGTGAATTTGGAACTTTGAGACTTTAAATCACACAGGCAGTCATTAATGATCTGACTCCAGAGATCTCTGGTGCTGGCACCAGTTCGTGAATGAGGCAAGGATTTAAATCACTTGAGTGCTATCCATTAAGAAGGCCTGAGCTACTTTGCCTTTGCTTTTCTTGATGTTGTTTTTATTTTGGAGGAGGGTTCGTTTTAGCACATGAACTTTCCACTTTTTACATCTGTAGTGAAGAATTATTTTCCTGGAGAAGTCTTTTCCTTCAACATACTCTAGAGGGAGTCAAATCTAAGAAAGTAATGTTTGAGGCATTTCGAGTACTGTTGGCTCTTTTCATAAATTCCTTTCCTTGATGACAATCTGCGTTGACTCTCTCAGTTAATAAAGACCAAAGCCAGGACTTGTGCAGGATCTGGATTTGATGAGGCCAAGGGAGAGGCAAATTTCTGTATGAATCAATTACTGTCTCACAGAGAATCTTCATTGCCCCTCGTCTCAGACTGCTGGGATCATCTAGTGGACTAGTATGGACTTTGGCCGGAATAGCCAAAGAGTGATGAGCAGGTGGCAGATGAAGCAAGCACTCACTCACAGGAGAGAAACAACCTCAGTCCTCCTAAACTGGAATAACGAATTCGGAAAAACTCTTAACCTTGTTGAAATTCAAGTCTTCTCAGTTTTGATAAATGGAAATTTGAATTAGGTCTCTGGCCTAAATTTTATGACATAATTTCTAGAGAAGGTTTCAATATTTGTTCTTTTTATTGCATTATGAATTTCTCTTGGCATGCCATCACCAGCTTCTATGCACAGCTGTGGAAATCATGGGTAGCCCTCAAGGCTCAGCTCAGAGATGTTATTCCATGAACATAAATCTTGTCCTTCCTCCATGCTCCAGAAATCATTTCTGCTTCCTTAAGTTTCACCTGAAGTTTGCTATGATCTTCCTCTTGTCATTACCACACCCTGCTTGGATCACAGCTGCTTTTGTAGATGTCTGACATTCCAGCCAAATGTTCCAGCTCCATAAGGATAGGGCCAAATTGATCTGAACTTTACACTCGTCATGCTACACACAACATGAATTGGGCATAGAAGATGCTGAACAAAGGTTTATTGAGAAGCAGAAAAGAAACTGCTTCCAACATAACCCTGATTTTTCAAAATGTATTTAATTTTGATTGAAGTTTATTTTAGTGAGTTCACAGACTGCAGTTCCTAAGCTGCAGTGAAATCGTTATGAGGATATCATTTTAGGAAATTTCCTCTTTAGAAATTGAGGGTAAAAAATATACTTGGTATTCTTTTCAAGTTTGTTCTTTAAGAACTAATAGTTTAAGTGTTCTGTGTAGTTCATCAGCTGATGTCTACTCTGAGCTGATTTGAGTGAATGCTTTTGATGACTACCATAGGACATACATTAGCCAATCTCCTGCACCCCTTAGAGATATGGGGTAACCAACATTTTTCTTAGCCACTGCCATCTTACTTCTATATAACAAACTGACTAAGTTCACAACAAGAGATCCATAGTTAGCTGAAGTAATGGCTTCTGGAGGAGGAGGGTCGTTTTCTTTTGGCTCATGGCTTTCGGTAGATTGCCCATGCTCTGTGGGAGGATAGTTCCACACCTATGCACACTCAGGCATCACTAACTGAAATCAAAACAAACTGAAAACAAAAACAGTATAGAAATAGAAGAAAAGACAAGAAGGTGTAAGGGGAAGGAATTGTTTGGATCTGGGTAGAATGTTAAGGGATATTTGGGTTAGATATGATCAAGATACCTTGTATACATGTACAATATTATCAAAGGATAAATAAAATTTCTAAAAATATTTGCCTTTTAACTTTTTTACCAACTTAAAGTATCCACTTTCTGTTAGTATTTGCATTCCTTTGTGCAGAATCAATTTTGTTTCTTATACTTTGGGAACTTGGTGACGACCATAGTTGAATCCCTGACAATAAATGTCAAATTTAACAGTTGACCTTTTCATTAGGGAATCTTGTCATCTTAATATCCTTTGTAGTACACATGGACACATGTGATTTCACCAGTGGGTGAATAGGTAAGGCATTCTAGTTAGGGTTTCTGTTGATGTGATAAAGAACATGATCAAAGGCAACCTGGGGAGTAAAAGGTTTATTCCTGTTTTTACAAATCTTAGTTCACACTCCATCACAGAGGGAAGTTAGGACAGAAACTCAAGACAGGATCCTGGAGACAGGAACTGAAGTAGAGGGCACTGAGAAGTGATGCTTCAGACTTGCTCTTCCTAGCTTGTTAAGTTTCCTTTCTTACACACTCTGGACCCACTTGCTCAGGGATGGTACCCTCAGAGCTGGTTAGGTTCTTACCATCCATTAGAAAAAAATCCTTGCAGGCTTTTATACTGAATAATCTTATAGGAGATTCTTTCTCAATTGAAATCCCATCTTCCTAGATATGCCTAGATTTGTGTTAAGTTGACAACAACCAACACAAAGAAGTTCTCCTTCCAGTTTCCATTTTTTTTAAAGTTTGGGTCATTTGTTGGGGCAGATGGGAAAAGGGGGACAGACAGTCTTCAGGGTTTGAGAAAAAGCTTAGACCAGAGAAGCCCATCCTGGGAGAAAGAACAGATCGCCAGGTTGCCAGCTTGTGAGGTTGTCAGGGGGTGCCCAGGGAAATGGTGAATGAAAGGTAGTACCCAAGAGCACCCCAGCGGGGCCGGTAGATCTGGAAGATGGTGATCCAGGTGGTGAGAACAATTACCCAGAAGAGGAAGCCCACAGCTGAGCACCAAACATCTAAAACGAAGAACAAGGGTAGGAAGAGTTGGCCTCCTTCAGGCCCGCCTTTTTATCTCCTGCCAGAGATCTCCCAGAGGTCTAGAGCCTCTATCATCCTTCTAACCACCCACTACCCTGTTTGTTTTGTTTGTATTTTTCTGGTGCCCTAGAACTCACAGCTTTTGATTTGGCACTACTCTGCTCTGCTCTGCTGGGGCGAGGAAGGCCTCTCCGAAGAACCAGAAAATATTGACCAACCAAAGAAAAGGTAGGAATGCAAAACCACCAAGATAGTACTTCCGGCACAGATTCAACTTCTCCTCATTGGACACCCGTTCCAAGTTCATAGCTGTGCTGGAGGCTGGTGGTCCTAATGGTCTGCAGACCAAGACCCAAACGACAGGCACGAGAACATGAACTACCACGCCCCTATTACAACAAATTAGATAAAGGGGGGGTTGCTACCAGGAGGGTACCTCTGTGACCTCGAACAGGCAGGTGGGGAGAAGTTCTTTATTTAGTTAGGATGTGCGAGACAACCCCCAAATCACCAGTGGAGTTTATCCCCAGTTTCCATACTTTATTGCCTTTGGAGACAGTCTTGTAATGTCCTACCTAACATAACCCTAGTCGTGTGTTTAAATTGCTTTTCCTCTGATTCTCTTAAACTACATAATCACTCGTGGAAGAAGCCTTATTTCCATCTAAATATGTATCTGAAAATGTAGAGTTGTCAATCAGAGAGTGTGAAGTATCAAAAATATTGATTTAATATTAAAGGACTGGTAGAAATATGCTCAGAGGAGCTTAGTTGGGAGACTGGATTGTCATTCTTGTTTATCCCTTGGATACACGAAGTTACATTCAAGGCTACCTTTATCTCCCTTCACCACCTCTCTTGATTACTCAGTCTCTTCCTCTCTGGCATTCTGTTGAACTGAGTAATGTGTAGTAACAGCATCTCCCAGAGGTTTTGTGGGGATTAGAAGCCCCTATTAATTTTTCAGTCTTTGCTGTAGAATGAAAAGGCTTTAACACAAAATCAAATTATTGATGTCACAGAAAACAGAACATATTTTGCATGTTACATTATGTAGTTACTATGGAAACAAGGTGATGTGTGGGTGGAGGCCACTTGTTCATTTCTGACTGCTCAGAGCACAAAACAAAGAGAGACTATTTTATTTAAATCACTGCTTGGTCCATCCCTTAAGCATATTACTAGATAGCTCTTATATCTTTGGTTAACCCATTTATATTATTTTATATTTTACCATGAGGCTCGTAGCCTACTGGCAAGGTTCTGGCTGGCATCTTGTATCTTTCTCCTCTGGTGGCTCCACAGCTTCTCCCTGATTCTGCGTTCTTTCTCCCAGCATTCAGTTGAGTTTCCCTTACATAGCTCTATTCTGCCTTGTTCAGGCTCAAAGCAGCTTCTTTATTAACCAAAGATAATAAAACATATTAACAGCATACAGAGGGGAATTCCACATCACCTCCCCCTTTCTGTATAAATAAAAAGGAAGGTTTTGACTTTAACATAGTAAAATTACATATAACAAAACAGTTATCAAGCAAGAACTATGGTTACAATACTTATATCTAATTTATCTTTTATCAAAACTAAGGAAAACTATAATTATGACTAATCTTCAACTCCATCAAATAATATTTATATATATATATATATCTATATATATCCAATACTGTGACCCATCTAGAGGTCTTTTTTTTTTATCTG